ATTATTGTGAATCTACAATTTCACAATAACTATACATATGATTATAATACTCCAAAATAAAAATCTCATTATTGTTGATAATACTAACCGATGAAACGTTATTCCATGATTTCGAGCTGCTGCTGTTATGCCACAAGCTCTACAGTATACCATTTTGATCGTTTATTTCCATACACTGTTGCATAAAAGACTATACACTGCATATTAATGCGTACGACGTACGGTATGCCGCTTGCCGCTATGCTCGAGCATTCCCTCTCACTTTCAAATAGCGTTTTCGATTATACAGGATTTGAACGACCCAGGGTTGGTTAATGACGTCATTGCAACCTCTCCACCAATGAAAGACTTGCATTTATAGTAAAATAGTGATTGATCAACCCTGGGTCGTTCAAATCCTGTATAATCGAAAACGCTAAAAAAGTGGTCGCTCAAGATGGCTGCCATGACGTACATCCGTCCGCGGATTTACCTAGTCCTGGCTAGTATATGCTTCCTCCTGTTTCTTTTTACTCAATGGTCAGAGCACCGCGTGCACTGTATCAAAATGTCCGTTAACCGTTTGAATTAAATCCACGTGCTCCGATTGGATTAACACCGACTGTACTATAATGTAGATCAGGAGTTCGAGTATATCACTGGTTTAACAATATAAATGATGGTCTTTATTGTAATTTGCAAAATACACTTAATACTGGTTAATCGCTCGCGAGACTAGATCTAATTCTACGACGACACTAATTTTCGACTGACCCTAATGCCGGCTCCGAACAGAATGCTTCTTAACATTTGGCTCCGCATAAAGAAGCCGGTTCCAAATGTTCGAGGATGTTTTGGATTGTTCGCCGCATCCGGTTTCGTACGGAAGCATCGACTTATTGCTTCGATCGAGTGTTGATGTATCGCACTTCAATATATCGCTGGCGGCCTTGCTGGCGCCGCCTGTCGGACGACCACCGAAAAATTTTACACTACAATACAACTTTTTCCGGCGAACTGAGGAGAGCGTTACCAATTCTCGTCCTAGGTTTTCTAAAGCACTATAAACGTGAGTATTCTCGTCTACGCCAGTTTTGGCTTATTCCCCCACTCCTTGCTCTCTCGCCCATTTATTGCTGAGCTAAGAGAAGTTAGGCCGAATTCCCACAAGATCTATAGAGAGAAGGTTACCTCAGTAAAACCGGTTGAGTGCGAGGGACAATGAAGTAAGGGGGGAGCTAGAAACAGCTTAATGGCGAGGGGCGATGAAGGAAGGGGAGAGCATGATGATCTCATCGACAAACAGTAGCTGTCTGAGATAGCTCTGTTCGCCGATGAGATCATCATTGCCCCTCTTGCCGCTCGTCCCTCTGCATTTGCTCCTCTTGCCACTCGTCCCTCTGCATTTGCTCCTCTTGCCGCTCGCCCCTCTCTGCATTTGCCCCTCTTGCCGCTCGTCCCTCTTTGCGCATGAGGTAACCTTCTCTTTATAGATCTTGGTTTGACACAGCTACACGCGCAATTTAACATCAGATCTCTTCAACACACTGGTTGCGTTTTGTTTCGCACATTATGCGCACGAATTACATAGAAAACGTTCCGTTTCACTCAATGCGCGCATGAACAGCGCTTAGAATTCTCTAGATCCCCACCACCTGCAGCGCATAATACACGCATCAGCTACCTCAAGTTTGGTTGCGTTCCGTTTTGCGCATAGCACGCATCGTTCGCATCGCTAATGCTTAGCACATTGGCTGCGTTTCGTTTCATTATGCGCATGATACATGCTTTGAAACGGAACGATATTGAACGCATTAGAAGCGGAAAATCAAAATGGATTCCACAATAAATTGCGCTATCAATGTGACAATGTTTTTAATTGATGAAATGAGTGACAGTAATAGTAGTGAATCATCAATGACTCTTCCATTATGATGGCCGGTTTATGCTTCGGTCTTAATCTTAATCTTAAGAGTTGATAACGTAGAATGCCATAAGGGCGTTTATACTTCCCTAGTCTTAATCTTAGTCTTAATCTTATAGCGTTTTCGATTATACAGGATTTGAACGACCCAGGGTTGGTTAATGACGTCATTGCAACCTCTCCACCAATGAAAGACTTGCATTTATAGTAAAATAGTGATTGATCAACCCTAGATCGTTCAAACCCCGTTTATTCGAAAACGCTATTAGTCGAGAGTAGACGAGATAGAAAGAGAAATCCGGTACCGAGTCACTGCCTTGTCTGACCGTTTTGTCGAATGGAGGGGGTAGCCTGTGCTCGTTCCAGTATGGTATATAGTTCAATGGTGTCGCCTAAATGCCTTGATGG